CCAGGTCAAAGTGGGTGGAGGCTGACCCCCTGGGCCTCCCAGAGCCTGGCAGCAAGAGCCTGGCCAGCCTCTGTGCCCCTGGCCCAGTTATCTGCAGAGACATCAGGGAGGGGTGGGCGGGCCCTAGCCTGCCAGGGAGTTGCTTCAGAAGGTCCCATGACCAGTCAGCCAAGCTTTCCTCGTGAAGCCCCAGGAGGGGGAGGCCCGTGTGTGAACGCCTGCCCTGTGTGCTCCGGGCCTAAGGCAGCCACTCCGGGGTCCCACTGCCATGACAGCGCACTGTCCCTGGTGCTCGGAGGGAAGGGCCTAGGCCAGCTGCACAGCCCGTGCCCTGCTGGCCAGCACTCAGGGCCCACGCCCCCCAGCCCCTGCGTGAGCCTGCCCAGGACGGACCCTAGCCCTCGGCTCCCCAGGCCCACTGCGCGGTGGCGTGCAAGGATGTCGCAGCTGCGACTGCTTGAAGCAGCTCCCCCGCCTGGCCAAGGTGGCCGCTGTGGGGGACCCTCGTCTCTGCACTCCTTGCCCATGTCCCTCCTCCCACTCCTCAGCACCCCTGCCCCCAGAACACGCTAGTCCTTGGGTGCAGCCCTTTTGCTGGTGGAGAGGCCTCTGCCACACTGCCACTCACCCCAGTGCCGTACGGAGCACCAGGGCTGACCTGAGTCTTGCATTGCCCCCTGGGAGGACGTGGTGGGGGGTGTGAGGCCAGGTGGGCAGGGCGTGGGGGGACAGCAGGCGTCTGTCAGCAGCCAGACCTGTCCTGCCACCCCTGCTGAAAGCCAAGGGCTGGCGACCACTCTCCACTGGGCTGTTTACGGGTGGGTGGGCTCCCTCAGGACCTGGGCTGGGAGCACAGGCTCTGGGCAGGGGCACAGCTGGCCGGGCAGCAGCCTCCTGCAGGACAGCGGTCCCTTTCCTGTGCATCCCTGAGCCAGGCCACTCCAACCCCGGGGTACAGAGGGGCCCCGGCAGCCCCTCCTGGGCCTCTGCTCTTCACTGACGCAGCAGCGGGGACAGAGGGTGCCAGGGTGGAGAGTGGCAGGACCAGGCATGCACCGTGGCTGGCGGTGCTGCCTCTGACTTGTTCCCAGTGCAGGGTGTGGCCAGGCCTCCCTCATAGGCCCATAACACCCACAAGGCTCCCCTGGACCAGCTGGGGTGCAGCTACTCAGGGCGGTCCCTGCTGACTGCTGGGCTCCCACCAGGTATCCCCGGCCACCTCACGGCCATCTGCTTCCGGCCTGGCAGTCCCTTCCCTCAGGAGCTGCACTCCTGCCTGTCCCGTCTGGTCCTGTCCTGTCCTGGACCAACCCTGCCTGCTGCAGGCTCCAGCACCTTCCCCAGGGGGAGGCGCGCAGCAGGAGGGGCAGACCTCATGGCCAGAGGTGCCCTCTGCCTCAGATGAGTGGCCAAGGCTCTCGGGCAGCTGGGTGCCTGTCAGACCTCCTCCCCACCCCACCCCTCTGTGGGCACCAGCCTAGCTGCCAGGAGCCTTATTCCTGGTGGCCCAGGCCCTGCGCACAGTGGGGGCACCAGCACAGGTGGGGCTGGAAGGCTGAGCCCTCGCAGGTAAGCGGCGCCTCCCCCCACCAAGCACCGTCGGGGATGAGGGTGCTGAGGTCTGGTCAGAGCTCGGTTCTCTCGTTCTCGGAGGCCAAGCGGAGTGGCGGCCAGCCACCTGAGCGCCGCGTTGGGGCCGCGGGCCTCGGCCGTGCCGCACGCACAGGCAGCTTGCTCGTTCTCATCGCCGCAGGAGCTCCCACCAGATCCCCCACAGCCTTTCACTCTACCGTTCTGTGTGCTTTTGTCTTTTAATGATTATTCTCTGAGGGCATGTGTACTTGCCGAGGATAGACCGGGAGAAAGGGAGAGGGATAAATCACGCCTCCGTGGGGCGTGGCCATGCCGCAATCCCCCGTCTCCCCACTTCTCCCGCTGTCCGGATTTGGCGCATGCGCACACCTTGCCGAGCGCGGTGAGGCATGGGGCTGGCCCTCCCGCTGTGTGTGTGCAGAGCCTGCCTCGGGTCTCTGGCCTGCGCTCTTGGCGTTAGCTGGTGTTTCCCTGGTGGCGACAGAGGCTGGCTGGCTGTGCTTCTTTTGTGAAATGTCTGTTCAAACGTTGTGTCCATGTTTATCATTTATTTATTTTAAGTTTTTGTCACAGGGCATGTGCACTCACCGGAGAGAGAGAGAAGGGGGTGGCCGCACTCCTCCTGTCGCCGTTCTCCTCTCGGGTCCTCGGCACGTGCACACGTGCCTGGCAGTCTGGGACTTGAGCCGCAGATCGTGGGGGAGCCCAGTGCCTTAACCACCATGCCACCTGCTGGCCCTTTTGTCGATTTTTATTTGAGTTTTTTTTTTTAAGAGGTTTTCGCCATAGTGCACGTGCACTCACTGGAGAGAGAGAAACAGAGAGACAGTGAGAGGGAGGGGGATGGCCAGGCCAGAATCCCCTCTTCCATTCTCCTCATGGGATCTTAGCACGCACGCACATAGGCCTGGTGTGGTTTTCAAGCCACCGGGTCCAGGACTTGAACCATGCTGGCCATGTGGGAGTCCGGAATGTTACCACTTTGCCACCTGCTGGCCCCAAGAGTTTTGATCTATTGACTGGCACAAGTCCTTTGTCAGAAACACGCATGTGCCGCAGGACCGTGGTGGTGCTCTGCTGGTGGTCCCCAGCTCCTCCACGGGCTAGCCCCCCTAACCTGCAAGCTCACAGTGCCTTCTTACGTCCGTCCTCCTAGGAAATACCCAGTCCCTGAGTGTTCACTTGGTTTCTAAAATATAACCTCTGGGCCAGCAGGCAGCCCAGAGGTTAAGACACTGGGAACCCACGCGGCTGGCTGCACGGTTTGAGTCTTGGACCATGTGTGCCTCAAACCCTGAGAGGAGAGTGGAGAGAAAGGAGTTGCAGCCTGGCCATCTCCCTGGGGGTACACCACTCCCCCGCCTTGACTCTCTCCTCTGAGCTGAGGACACGTGCCCGTAGCAAACTAAAAAATAAATGACTTAATGGGAACCAGCAGTTAGCGTAATGGCTGTGTCGCTGGCCTCCCACATAGTCGACCACGGTTCACGTCCCGGACCCGGTGGCTTAAAACTCACGCCGGGCGCGTGTGCGTGCATACCCAAGATCCCGAGAGGAGAATGGAGGAGAAGGGATTGCGGCGTGGCCATCCCCCCTGGGGAATGATTTCTCGCTTTCTGTCTCTGTGTCTCTCTCTGTCTGTCTGGCGAGCGCACGCGCCCTATAGCGAAAACCTCTCAAAAAAAAAAAATAAATAAAAATTTTTAAAAAATGACTTAATTAAAAATTAAACTTAAACATCGACATGGTGGTTAAGGGCTGGACTCCCACATGGCCGACCACAGTTTGAGTCCTGGACCTGGACGCCTGAACCTCACACTGGGCATGTGTGCATGTGTGCCCAAACCCCAGGAGGATGGAGAAGGGCTGCAGCCTGGCCACTCCCCCAGGGGCGACTTCCTACTTCCCTCTCTCTGTCTCTGGTGAGCACATGTGCCCTACGGCAAAAACCTTAAAAGAAAATTAAATTTTCTTTATGAAATTCTTTCTCTTTATTTAGAATAATTTATTCAATTTTGTTTTTGTTTTTTGAGAGGTTTTCGCTATAGGGCGCGTGCGCTCGCCAGACAGACAGAGAGAGACACAGAGACAGAAAGCGAGAAATCCCCCCCCAGGGGGGATGGCCACGCCGCAATCCCTTCTCCTCTATTCTCCTCTCGGGATCTTGGGCACGCACGCGCACGCGCCCGGCGTGAGGTTTTTTTTTAAGCCACTGGGTCCGGGACGTGAACCGCGGTCGCCTACGTGGGAGTCCAGCGACATCGCCATTACGCTAACTGCTGGTTCCCTTGTTTTTGTTTTTTGAGAGGTTTTCGCTATAGGGCGCGTGCGCTCGCCAGACAGACAGAGAGAGACACAGAGACAGAAAGCGAGAAATCCCCCCCCAGGGGGGATGGCCACGCCGCAATCCCTTCTCCTCTATTCTCCTCTCGGGATCTTGGGCACGCACGCGCACGCGCCCGGCGTGAGGTTTTTTTTTAAGCCACTGGGTCCGGGACGTGAACCGCGGTCGCCTACGTGGGAGTCCAGCGACATAGCCATTACGATAACTGCTGGTTCCCTATTCAATGTTATTAATTATTATTATTTTTATTTTGCTATAGGACATGTGCACTTACCAGCGAGAGACAGAGACAGAGAGGGGGGGAAAGTGAGAAAGCAAGCTGTAGGTCAGACTTGAACTGCAGTCCGCCATGTGGGAAGTCCAGTGCCGTAGCCACTATCCCACCTGCTGGCCCTGATATTCTTTATTGAGCCATTGTCATCATATTTCCCACTACTTTCTGTAGTTCTCTTTAATTGCCAGAGGGTGTGTGTGCTCACTAGAGGGAGCGAGAAAGAGATGGACAGGAGAGAGAAAGCACCCCATGGACCGTGGTCACGCCACAACCCCTCCCCACTCTCCGTCTCGGTGGGATTCGGTGGGATTCGGGGCATGCACGCACAGGTGCCTGGCGTATTTGTCAAGCTGTTGGCGCCAGGATTCCATGCGGCTGGCCCCCAGGCTGTGGGCCGGCCCGCCTCCTGGCCTTTTGAACAAACCGTAGTTACCTTGAAGCCTGTGTTAGGCCCAACTGCATGGAGGCGGCTCCTGGGTGCGGATGGCATGGTTTCGCTTCCATGCGTGGCTGTAAGTTTTGGCTGCACGCCGGGCACTTCGGGGACTGCGCTGTGGCCTGTTCAGGTCCCACCTGGGTGGCTGGTCTCTGTGCTGTGTCCCCGCTTTCCTGGACCTGTGTGCAAGGCCTGCGCTCCCCAGGGCCGCACTCTGCTGTCCGCTCTGATGTCTCAGCCTCCCGCTGGGGGCTGCCTTGGTGCGGTGTTCAGGGGGGGCTGCCCACCTCCGTGGGGACACGTGCCATCCTGGCCTCCACCGGCACGTCCCACTAACTGCCCTGTCTCCGCAGTGTCTGGCCGACAGCTGCAGCCCGAGGAGCCAGGTGCAGACACAGAAGACGACCACTCTGTGAGTGACTCGGGTCGCGCGTCCTCCCTGTGGCCCGGCCCGTGGCCCGGCCCCAGGCCTGGGAAGAGCCCAAGCCGCTGGGGTAACTCGCTGCTCTCCTCCGACCAGGTGACCGAAGGGCCTGTGGACGAGCTCATTCGGCCGCGGCCACAAGGCTCCTCACCTGTCTACGAATGTGCAGCCGAGGACGCTGCTTCTGGGCTCCAGGTGAGCCCGCCCTGCTCGCCGGCCCGCGCACCTGCAGCCCGATGGCTAGCTCACACATACATCCGCAGGCCCGGCCTGCCGCCCACAGGCCCAACCATGCCCACTCGGCTGTCCTTTCTGACTCCTCTGTGTCCCCGGGTGTCCCTCCCCTCATCTGGCCAGGACACAATAACACAGACACGCCCGCAGCTCCCCTGAGCGAGCCGGTGTGCTGACCGGTGAGCCTCGGTGCGTGGGGCCCGCTCTGGGCACAGGGTGTGTGTGTTCTGAGCCTGGTGACACGCACGCACGCGTGCACACACTCTGTGGGGAGACGTGAGCAGGGTCCCGGGGCTGTCTGGGGGTGGGGCAGAGGCGGCGTGTCTTCTGGAGGATCCATTTTGCTCTGCGTGAGTGTCTTCCTCCCCTTCTTCCTCCACATAAACCCACTTGCCGAGGGCTTCCCTGAAGACGCCCTGGGCTTTGGGCTGGGCCTTGTGGGATGCTAGAGGCCAAGGACTGCACCTCCCCAGTGGGAGGGCCCTGGAGGGACTTGGCCCCCATGCGTGTGGCTGCACCTGACATTCTGGGGTCCCACGGCTGGGACAGGGGTAACACCTGACCCTTGTGGCTACAGGAAGACGCCCCGGGCAGGCACGGTTCTGCCAGCAGACGGTGGTCCTGGTGGAAGCGGGACCCAGGGGACTCACGGACATCTTCCAGAATGAGCCGTCCAGAGGTCGGTGCAGCCAGAGTGAGGGGCTCAGGGAGGGCTGCCGCTCCCCAGGGCTCCACTCAGGGGCACTGGGGCCGGAGTGCGGGGGTGGGGAGGCTTGCCTGGGCAGGGGTGTGTCAGGCCTCAGAGGGTTGGGGGCGGCCCAGGCTTCTCTTGTCCCCATGGTGAGCAGGCGCCCTCGGGGGTGCAGCCTGGGTCCCTGTTTGAGCAGTGTGGGGGCTGCAGCCTGCCAGCGGACATGAGGGCCCGGGGAGACCTCAGCTTTGTGGCCTCGGAGGGGAGTCCGGGCTGCCACCTGTGGAAAGGACACACTGCCCGCAAGGTGGCCCCAGCATGTCCGCCCAAGGTTAGGCTGGCTGTGTCCGGCTTTCTGTATTCTCCTTGGCGCTGTTTTTCTTTTCGTTCCTTTTCTTTCTGTTGCTGTAGGGGGCATGTGGGAAATAGGGAGGGAGGGGAAGGCACCCCCAGGAGGGTGCGGGCCAGCCTACCCTGTCCTCTGCCTCTCCTGCCCGCCGGGTTTGGGTTATGTGTACATACAGCGGGCGTGTTTCCGGGCGCAGGGGCTGAGACGGGCCGTGCAGCCGCTACGATGCAGCAGCATGCTCAGGGCTGAATCCCCATGCCTGGGGCCGGACTGTGGGTGGCTGGCCCCCCACGAGCCTCGCGGGTTTGGGGTAAACACAGGAAGCCAGGCCTGCATGAGCACGGCCTGTCCCCTGGAGGCTGGCGGCGGGCGGGGTGGGCGAGTGGAGCCAGTGCCCACCGGAGGCTCCTGGCGGTGCAGGTGGAGCCACCTGGGTGGGCAGCCTGCGCCCTGCCCTCAGGAGACCAGGGCCCCGCAGCGAGGCCGGGGCCGAGGCAGGCACACGCCCACCACTCTGCCTGTCTGCTCCGGTCTTCGCAGGGGGCCACGGAGCTGACACTGGAGACCGAGGCGGAGGCCGGAGCCAGTGGCTACAGTGTCACAGGCAGGGACCAGGGGATCTTCGTGAAGCAAGTGCTGAAGGGCTCCTCGGCCGCCAAGCTCTTCAGCTTGCAAGAAGGTGCTCTGGTCGCCCTATCCCTAGGCTCCCTGGTCCCCAGGGTGGGAGGGACCTGGAGGGGCCACCTGGGACTCTGCTCACGGCACCCAGGGGCCTGCACTCACACAGGCCCGCTCCTTCCTCCAGGGGACCAGCTACTCAGCGCAACTGTGTTCTTTGACAACATTAAATATGAAGATGCTCTCAAAATCCTTCAGTACTCAGAGCCCTACAAAGTTCAATTCAAAATCAGACGGAGACTGCCTGCCAGTGAGGATGAAGAGGGTGCTTCCAGGGGCACGCAGCATGGCACCCCGGGCCAGGAGGGGCAGGTGAGGCCTGCGAGCCCAGCCAGGGGCACTGCCACTGCCGAGGCTGGGGGAATTGGCACCAACGAGCTCCCCCTCCCTGTGTTTCAGGACAAGGATGTCACTGAAGTGTACACAGAGACCCCCACGAAGACGGCAGGAGGAGGTGGAGATCGGGAGAGACTCATCTCTAAGCCCAGGCAGGAACGAGGCCGGCGGCCCCAGAAGGAGAGGTTGTCCTGGCCCAGATTCCACAGCGTGAAGAGCAAGCGGGGCCCCGGGCCCCGGAGGTCACTCAGCTCCTCAGAGGCCCGCGGAGGTGGGCCCGACCTGTCCCCCACCAGCACAGACACAGAGGCCCAGCTCCCAGCAGAGCAGCAGGAGCAGGCAGCAGGCCCCGGTGGCCAGAGGAGGAAGAGGTTTCTAAATCTGAGGCTCAGGAGGAGCAAAGGGGCCCAGTCAGGGCCAGGCCACCCTGAGGCCCTGGAAGAGTGGGGGCTGTGGGGTGACAGCCTCGAGGGTGCAGGGACCGCTGCACCCAGCAGGGAAGAGGAGCAGGTGGCACAGGGGCCGGGGCCCGCGTCTGCCCCCCGCGAGCCCCTGGTAACTGAGGCCGGCCTCCTTGACCTCTCAGAGGGAGGCACTGGGGGCGAGGTGGGCAGACGCCGAAGCAAGAACGGGGTGAAGGCCCAGGAGGAGAGGGAGAAACCGAGGGACACCCAGGCCCAGCCTGCCCTCAAAGCAGGCTGGGAGGGGGGCAGGGATACAGTGCAGAGCCTGGAGGGGGCGACTGCCAGACTGTCACTCAGAGACACAGCTCACGGTAGTGGCACACAGAGCCTGCCCCAGGAGGTGCGAGTTCAGATACCTGATTTAAAGATACCCAAATTTGTATTTTCCAAAGAAAAATTTCTGCAGACAGAAAGTGACAGGACTGCAGCCCGGACAGGTGCGGGGACAGGCCACTCCTCAGAAGGGCCCCGCCCCAAGGGCGCACAGGCAGGAGCAGCAGAGAGCAGGCCAGAACACAGGGACAGAGGACCCAGAGACCGAAGCCAGCCAAGCAAAGGGGAGGTGCAGGCTGAGGCCGAGGACAAGGAATTAAGGGAGGCCAGGATGAAAATGCCCAGGTTCCGAATTCCCTCCTGGGGATGGTCCCCCGGAAAAGAGCCGGTGGCAAGTGAGAAAGCTAGGGAGCCAGAGGGGACGGAGGGCCGAGAAGTTCAGACAGGCGGGCCCAAGACAGACAGCAGGAAGGACAAGGGCGAGGAGGCACAGCAGGGTGTGGACAGGAGACACCAGGAGAAGGTACACGAGGAAGAACAGAGCAGTGTCAGGGCGGAGGGGGGCCTCTCCGTAGGGGATAAGGACAGCAAACTGAAGAAGCCCAAGTTCAAGATGCCCTCCTTCGGGGTATCGGCCCCCAGGAAACCCATCGAGGCGTCGGCGGATGCCGGTGCTCCCAGGGTGGGGGTGGACGTGTCCCTACCCTCCGTGAAGGCAGATACCAGTGACCATACCACTGAGCTGCCTTCTGCCAGCCTGGGGGCCAGGACTGACCAGGTGGGCGTGAGGCTCACAGACATCCATATACCAAAGATCACGCAGCCAACTCCGGCTGATACACACAGCCTGAAGGGCCACCTGCCCCCAATGAAGCCACCAAGCACCAGAATGCCCAAGGCAGACCGGAAGGACCCTGAAGTGCACGTGAAGGGGCCAAAGGTGGACCCGAGAGGACCGAAGGGGGAACTGAGGAGCCACGAGCCAGATGGGCCACTGCCGAGCCTGGAGATAGACATTCAGATGCCAGAAGCCCAGCTGCAGGGCGTGAGGCTGGAGGGTGACGTATCCCTGGGTGACAAGGACCTGGCCCCCAAGGACAGCAAGCTCAAGATGCCCAAGTTCAAGGTGCCCTCCTTCGGGGTGTCATCCCAAGACAAGTCCATCAAGGTGGAGGTGGACGTGTCCCTGCCCTCCGTCCAAGCAGATGTCGAGACCAGTGACCTGACCACTGAGGTGTCTTCTGCCGACCTGGAGACCAGTGCTGGCCAGGTGGGCGTGACGCTCCCTGAATGCCAAGTACCCACGATGGAGCCCCAGAACCCAACTGGAGGACATGAGGCTGGAGGAGGACGTTTCCCTGGGTGACAAGGACCTGGCTCCCAAGGACAGCAAGTTCAAGATGCCCAAGTTCAAGGTGCCCTCCTTCGGGGCGTCATCCCTCGGCAAGTCCATCAAGGCGGAGGCTGACATCAACACACCCAAAGTGGAAGCAGGCATGTCCCTACCCTCCATCCAGGCGTCTCTTAAGACCACGGATGTCAGCGTGGAGCTGCCGTCCACTGACCTGGACGCTAGAGCTGACCAAGTGGGCAGTAAGTTCCAGGAGAGCCACCTTCCCGAGGCTGAGCTACCAGTTTCGAGCAACGCAGGCAGACTGAAGGGGCCCCTGGCCAAGGTGAAGATGCCCAGCATCAAGATGCCCAAGGTCGTCCTGAAGGGCCCTGAGAGGGACATCAAGGGCCCAAAGGTGGACCTCACAGGACCCAGAGGTGAGCTGAGTAGGCCCGAGCTGGAGGAATCACTGCCAAGCCTGGACATCCTCGTCCCCGGAGCCCAGCTGCAGGGCGTGCGGCTGGAGGGGGACGTATCCCTGGGTGACAAGGACCTGGCCCCCAAGGACAGCAAGTTCAAGATGCCCAAGTTCAAGGTGCCCTCCTTCGGGGTGTCATCCCAAGACAAGTCCATCAAGGCGGAGGTGGACGTGTCCCTGCCCTCCGTCCAAGCAGATGTCGAGACCAGTGACCTGACCACTGAGGTGTCTTCTGCCGACCTGGAGACCAGTGCTGGCCAGGTGGGCGTGACGCTCCCTGAATGCCAAGTACCCACGATGGAGCTGCCGGCCTCCGATGCCACAGGCAGCCTGAAGGGGCACCTGCCCAAGGTGAGGATGCCCAGCATCAAGATGCCCAGCGTCAAGATGCCCAAAGTGGACCTGAAAGGCCCTGAAGTGGACGTCAAGGGCCCAAAGGTGGACCTGCAGGGCCCCAAAGAGGAGCTGAGTGGTCCAGAGATGGAAGTGCCATTGTCTAGCCTAGATGTGAGCGTCCAGGCCCCAGGAGCCCAGCTGGAGGGTGGGAGACTGGACGGGGACATGTCTATGAAAGGCACGGACCTGGTCCCCAAGGACAGCAAGTTCAAGATGCCCAAGTTCCAGATGCCCTCGTTTGGGACGTCATCCCACGGTAAGCCCATCGAGGCGTCGGTAGACACCAGTGCGACCAAGGTGGAGGCGGAAATGTCCCTGCCCTCCGTCCAAGCAGACGGCAAGACCAGTGACCTGACCATTGAGCTACCTTCTGGTGGCCTGGAGGCCAGCGCTGGCCAGGTGGGCATGACACTCCCAGGAAGCCACACACCCAAGACAGAGCTGCCGGCCCCAGATGCCACAGGCAGCCTGAAGGGGCACCTGCCCAAGGTGAAGATGCCCAGCGTAAGGGTGCCCAAGGTGGACCTGAAAGGCCCTGACATTCACATCAAGGCCCCAAAGGTCGACCTGACAGGCCCCAAAGGAGAGCTGAGTGGACTCGAGTTGGAAGGGTCATTGCCCAGCTCGGAGGTGGACATAAAAGACCCTAAGGCCCAGCTGGAGGGCATGAGGCTGGAGGGCGATGTCTCCCTGGGAGACAAGGACCTGGCCCCCAAGGGCAGCAAGCTCAAGATGCCCACGTTCAAGGTGCCCTC